CGTAATATATGCGTGTGTGTACTGTGTATATTTATTATGTATATATAAATACACACACATGCACGTATATATTTTGAAAATATTTAAATGCATTTACATGCATATATTTATATTTATATAATTTATATTATATATAAATAATGTTTTACTTTATATGTAATGAATCTAGAATATATGAAAATTTCACTTTTTGAAATAAGTAAAAAGAAAAAACTTTTTCACGATATTCTTTTTTTTTTTTTTTTTTAGATGCACCTGTATATGTATATGGGTTATTTATTTAAAGATTTATTATTTAGTACGTGCTGGCTGTTATTTATTTATTATTTATTTTAGAAATAATATTATTAATTATTAAATAACAAACAAATAAATGCAAAAAAAGAGAAATCAATAAATAAACACTACACAGTCTCCCTCTAGCGGTGCTTTACTGAAATTCGAGGAACACAAACGCACACGTCAACAGAGGCGCACGGAAAGAGGGCGTGTCCTGAAGCGAGTTCCAGCTTGTCATTGGTTGTCATATGATTGACGTGCTGACGTGGGCGTGAGCGCTCAGGAAGTTTTTAATGAATCGCTGTTGTGTTTGAGGTAAGAGCAGTCGCATTAACTTCATAATTTCACCTTTTTATGGTTAAATGTGTTTGTTTATCAGTTTATTTTTTTTCAGCTGAAACGAGTGTTTCATTCTTAGGGACGAAAACATGAGCACAAATTCCCCAGGGTTTGTAAATGATGAGGTCAAATATGATGCTGTGCTGCTGGTTTGCTCTTGAATGCTTTGTTTGATTTGACTTAAACTTGTCATGAAGTTTTTCTCAGTTGTCAGTATTGTTAACTGGAGACTGAGATAACCAATGCCATGTAAACTACCGTTCAAAAGTTTGTTATGATTTAAAAAAAATAAAATAAATAATAATAATTATAATGATATACTATAATTCTATTTTTATAATGTAATTAAAATGATATAATAAATTGATCAAAAATGACAGTATAGGCATTTATATTTTATATAACAATTATATTTCAAATAAACGCTGTTGTTTTGAATTTTCTATTCATCAAATAATCTTGAAAAAAAAAAAGTGTATCACGGTTTCCACAAAAATATTGGGCAGCACAACTGTTTTCAACATTGATAATAATCAGAAATGTTTTTTTCGAGAAGCAAATCAGCATATTAGAATGATCTCTGAAGGATCATTCATTTTTACAATATATTCACATAGAAAACACTTATATTAAATTGTAATAATATTTCAGAATTTTACTGTTTTTGTTGTATTTTTGATCAAATAAATGCAGCCTCAGTGAGCAAAAGATTCAAAAACATAAAAAAAATCTTTTAAGCGGGAGTTTATTTTCAGTATTAGTCAAACAATTTGACACACTGGACTTACGTTGTGCTTAATTAAAAATAGTTTTAAACACATAGAAATGACTGAGTTGTAAAGATGCTATAATGACACAGATTTTGAGGTATGTTAATGAACTGGCTTGTTTAGAGGTCATTAAGGTCATGAAGATGATTGACAGACAGACAGTTCCTCACTTACTCGTGTGTGATGTCAGCGTTGACCTCAGTATTGAGTTGAGTCATCGTCAAGATTCATGTGATGTTGAACGCAAGCTTCGTCGACATGAATACTCGCATCAGCACCTATTCATGCATGTGTTTATATTTGTGTTCAGGAGAGTTTATATTTGTGTGTGTGTGTGTGTGTGTGTGTGTGTGTGTGTGTATGTGTGTTTGTGTTGTTTTCATGTTTAGCTGGTTTAATGTTGGAATAATAGTTTTTAATGCTGTGTGTGTGCAGTCAGATCACAATGTGTGTGTGATTTTAGATGTGTGATGTGTTACAGATGTGTGTGTGTGTGTGTGTGTGTGTTGTTTTCATGTTTAGCTAGTTTAATGTTGGAATAATAGTTTTTAATGCTGTGTGTGTGCAGTCAGATCACAATGTGTGTGTGATTTTAGATGTGTGATGTGTTACAGATGTGTGTGTGTGTGTGTGTGTGTGTTGTTTTCATGTTTAGCTAGTTTAATGTTGGAATAATAGTTTTTAATGCTGTGTGTGTGCAGTCAGATCACAATGTGTGTGTGATTTTAGATGTGTGATGTGTTACAG